AAAAAAAAAAAAAACTTCCCTGCCCGGGCTGTAATCAGAGTGGCTCAGATTACACATGTGAGCCACCAGTGCTCAGATTTTTAGTTCAATATTTAAGACAACCCTTTAAGGGCAGTAGACCTGTTTCATAGATGGAAAAACAGAGGTTTAGAAAAGGTTAAGTGGCAGAGAGCAAGTATCCACAAGGTTAACAAATATCAGAGCTAGATTTCAAATTCAAGGCTCATTTCAACTGCTATCCAAGGAACAGAAAGGAGGGACCTCTACTGAGAGAGGTGATGTGTGATCTGAGTTTTGAGGTACAGTAGCAGGAGGGCATATAAGGCATCTGAATGAAGGGAACAATCTGGGCATAGGCAGAGAGATGGAAGTTCACCAAGATTATCTGACTAGAGATAGGAAGCCATGATGCCTATCGAATCAAGATATCTCATATCAGAAAGTGTGACCTTAGTCTTTAAAAGTATAGGACACAATAGGGGCTGGGAAGGTGGCTCAGTGGTAGAGTGCATGCCTTTGCATGCCAGAGGCCCTGGGTTCCATTCCTCAGCACCACATAAGCAAAAAGAAAAAAGCCAGAAATGGCACTGTGGCTCAAGTGGTAGAGCGCTAGCCTTGAGCTGAAGAACTGAAGGACAGAGCCTATGCCCAGAGTTCAGGCCCCATGACCGGACCCAAAAAAACAAAGTATAGGACACAACAGCTTTTTGGGCTGGCTTTGTTCAAAGCCTTAGTTCAGAGTAATGGAAGTGTCATTCTGATCAGGTCCATGAGGAGAATATACTTGGGTCCATTTTCATCTGTCAGTCACACAATAAAGTGGATGGAATAAGCGTGTTAATACGAATCTCTGCTTATTAGAAAGCTAAAGCTGAACATAGTAAAGAAAGAACAACAGGCATAGAAAGACTTGGGTCCAGTTCTTGTTCTGTCTTTTACCACTAAGTTGGTTAGACCTCTTATGGCCCGTTTCTTCATCTGTAAACAAGGTAGGAATTAAATGAAAAGAATGTAAATAATATGACATTACAAATGGGGTGCGATTGTGTGGATTTGCACACTCCCAGCCCTCAGGAGGCTGGAGCAGGAGAACTGCTTGAACCCAGGAGGCCGAAGTCAGCCTAAGCAATACAAAGAGACCTCACTTCAAAAAAGAAGTTGCCAGGCGCTGGTGGGTGGCTCACGCCTATAATCCTAGCTACTCAGGAGGCTGAGATCTGAGGATCTCGGTTCAAAGCCACCCCAGGCAGGAAAGTCCATGAGACTCTTACCTCCAATTAACCTGTGGCTCAAGTGGTAGAGCACTTGCCTTGAGCTTAAGAGCAGAGGGACAGCGCCCAGGCTCAGAGGTCAAGCCCCATGACCGACAAAAAAAAAAGACAAAATGAGATATCCTGAGAAGCTGAAAGTAAAGTAGAAATAGTAAACATGAATTAGAATAAAAATGTAAGAAGTTCTCTTCAAGAGGGAGGACAATTCTTAGACTGTAGGAAGGTAAGCCTTGGCCTAGGGGGACTGAGCAAGGTAATGCCATCCCATGAATCACATGGCTATGAGAATCTCTGAAAACATCAATGTATCCAACCACATCAAACATGTCAAACTGTTACCATCCTGTCCCAGACTATGTGATTGTAACCTTGGATCTTTCTAGCCATACCTTCTTTTCCTTCTCTAAGATCATTTGATCCTTCTGATGTAACATCTTCTTCAGAGTTGCCACCTCTTCCTTCAGCTGGGCAATGATGACAAAGTGGTCAGTGCCTGGTGAGTCCAGGGCCAGGTCCGGGGAAAAGCTGAGCAAGAAAATGGAAGAGGAAAAAAAAAATCGTAACTTAAATGGATAAATTTTCTCTACCTGAGGATGTATTGCAGACCATGTGACTCAAACTCTTTAAGGACCCCTGTAAACTATTTGAATTCCCAGCATCAAGCATGTTGGTCCATTCTCACAAAGCTCAACAGTATTTGCTGAACTCAAACTGCACCAAGAAGTTGGAAGTCAGAAAACGATATCAAAACAAACCACAACCTGGCAGCACTTTCCCTCACATTTACTACTAAAATAGATACCATATCCCATTTAAAATCCTCATGTTTTACTGGTGAAGAAGCCATGGCTGTGATTAACTTCCTTAGAATTCAAGAATTCTGGCTAATCCTCAGTTGTAAGCATAGAAATTCTGCGCTATGATGAGGTACAGCCAGTCCCTTTTCTACAAAGATGAGGCTTATGGGGAAGGAAACCAGCTTCACTTATGCTACACTTGACGGTCATTTCCAATGTCAAGAATTTTATCACCTGGGCACAATGACACACACCTGTAATCCCAGCATTCAGTAGATGAAGGCATGAGGATTATGAGTCTGAGGCCAACCTGGTATATATAGTGAGCTCTAGGCTAGGCTGAGCCATAGTACTATCCTATCTCATAGAAAGCAAAAAAAGAATTATGTGACAGGACAGGAACAAAGAGGGGCAGACTTCAAAACCACCCCACAACTAGGGTTTCCAACAGTCGGTATAGCACCTGAGCACTCCATTTTGTCCAAGTTGCCAGATGGAATCTATGTCCTTTCAGCAAAGTCCAGAAATTATACCAAAAAAATGTGTTTTCACATACAATGAACAGTTTAACCAGTGAGGACCCAAGAGGTACCTCAGACCCAAAACAAGGGATCACTGCTAGTTCTCTAGAGAATCCCCAAAGGAAACCTTTTTTCTCTCAGAAGAGCCGTTTCTTTCTGAATTTTACCAGAGTAAGACTTTATTGAGGCAGAGCAAATGCAAAATCAAAAGTAAGTTCTCAAAGGAAATAGACTGTGGGAAACAACAAAGGAGTTGAGTGGCTTTCAGAACAATCTAAAGCAAAACAATAAACCTACGTCCTTTTCCTAAGGCTTAGGAAAGCCTTAGGGAGACTTGAGTGTCCCTGTGTTAACAGAGCAACACCTTGTGGTTCTTCCTGTGGTTGGATTTTTTTCCTCTATCTTAAACCACATCTCATAATCAGCATTTCTCTACGCAGGAAGAAACCCCAAAGAGCAAGCCTGACCCTGGACATAGTACTTCATAACTGCCAATGCAAACTTTTCTATGGCTAGAATTGGAAGACATGATCCATTGACAAGATTATTGCCACCTGCCTCTCCCTCCTGCTGACTTTGAACCATGATTCTCAGATCTCAGCCTCCTGAGTAGCTCGGATTCCAGGCATGAGCCACGGGCACCCCACTCAACCTAAATCTTATTTAAACCCATAACTACAGCAATGAATGAAGCAAGAGGAATGAGACAGTATATGATTTTCCACTGCCAAAGAGCAAATGCTGCTTCTTGAGAGAAGAGTCTTCTTGTACTAATGAATGGTTGACAAAACCAGTTCTATCTTGTATTAGAACCTAATCTCTCTGGGTCTTAACTCCTAGTTCAGTAACAACTGCTAGAAATAAAAAAAGACAGCTAGGTTAGTAAGGTAGAAAAGTCTCTTTCAAAATATCCCCAATGACAGTGAACTTCTTTTCCTGGGAAACATTTTGTTAATGTAACTTTCTGTAAAAAGCTGTTAATTTAAGAACAATCTTCTGTACTCAGGAACAGGTCAGGAGAATAAATGAAGCTACATGGAAAAGTGGGGCCTTTAGAAAGGGTGTGCACCTGGCTCGGCATCCTGGTAAGTTGCCTGTCCTTCATAGTGGGAGCATCCCTCTTTCTGAGCAATGGGGCACTGGAGGCTGAGAAGAATGCAGGGGAGTCTAAGAACACATATATCCTGAGGCCCATTTTCCAGCAAAGGTTCAGGCCCTCTGTGTTTAAAGTCTGTATCAGATGAAATGCCTCCGCTCACAAAACATTTATTAGAAACCGTTAAAGACAGGGCTGGGAAGGTGGCTCAGTGGTAGAGTGCTTGCCTTGCATGCTCGAGGTCCTGGGTTTGATTCCTCAGCACCACATAAGCAGAAAAAGCTGGAAGTGGAGCTGTGGCTCAAGTGGTAGAGCGCTAGCCTTGAGCTGAAGAGCTGAGGGACAGCACCCAGGCCCAGAGTTCAGGCCCCACGACTGGACCCCCCCCCAAAAAAAAAGAGAAACCATTAAAGACAAATTAAAAGAAATGGGATTTGATTGATATAAAATGGTAGTGCAAGTACTCATTGGGGAGCAAAGAGGTGAAGGAGTGTTCATGGCTGCCCTGTGTTTCTGGAATGCTGACACTGACCACGACATTCATGATGTTTTTATGAATGATAGTTTCTTCTGTGTTGTAGCAGCATTTGGGTGTTTCTACTATTGAATCTTTGAAAAAGGTGGGAAAGAAGAAACGTGAATTCTTTATATTGTTAAATACCTTGACAAAAAAAAAAAAAATGACAAGCCATGGGGCTGGGAAGGGGGTTCAGTGGCAGAGTGCTTGCCTTGCATGCATAAGGACTTGGGTTCGATTCCTCAGCACCACATAAGCAGAAAAAGCTGTGGCTCACATGGTAGAGTGCTAGCCTTGAGCTGAAGACCTGAGGGATGGCACCCAGGCCCAGAGTTCAGGCCCCACGACCGGACCCAAAAAAAAAAAAAAAAAGAAAAAAGAAAAAAAAGTAGCTGGTTCATTTTCTCAAGGAATGAAAACCACACCTAACTTCCACTTCCTTCAAATTGAAAAGTTTTTGTTATAATTTCAACAAATTAGAAATCATTGAGAGGTAGGTGAGAGACTCTGTAGAATACGAAAATGCAAACGACTAAGTTATCTTATAGATAATAAGCCATTAGAGAAAAGCTAAGATAATGTGTTTTGTCTACAATAAGGAAGACTAATAGATAAAGAATAAGGGAGAAGAAATAATCATATGCCTCTATGCTAATGAGAAGGGAATAGGATAGTTTGAAAAAACTGCACACACACACATACACACACCCCTACCTCCCAAAATCCTATGAGGCGTGAGTGAGGCGGCTACAATAAATATTTCAGATACAAGACTACAAGTCAGGCACCTGTGGCTCACATCTGTAATCCCAGCTACTCAGGAGGCTGAGATCTGAAGACTGAGGCTCAAAATGAGCCCAGGCAGGGGCAGGAAGTACAAGAGACTCATCACCGGTTAACCACCAAAAAACTCAAAGTGGTAGAGTGTCAGCCTTGAGCAAAAATCTCAGGGACAGTGCGTAGGCCCTGGGTTCAAGCCCCAGAACTAGTGTGTGAGCACATACACACAGACTAATTAAGCTTAGTATAACATGTTAACATGTGTACCTCAGGTATATAGGATTAGAGTAAAAGGTTGCCAAAAAAAAAAATCACAGCATTGTCAGAATGCTTTTTTCAAAATGCATTACAAGCAGAGAAGAACTCTCAAAAAGTAAAATGGGCAGCAAAATATAATGTTGTGCTACAAATATTTAGAAATGCAAGTGAGAGGAATGTTCTACTACAGGAACATTTAAATGGAACAAAAATACTCAAGTGCATCTCATTCTCTCCTGATCCATCATCTGCACTGGGCTGATTTTCCAAAGGCTGCAAACTCTGGAATAATCCTCACACATAGAGCAACACTCCTTCAATCCCATCTCAGCTCAGCTCAGCCCCTCCAAACCAATCCATGCCCTGCTTGGAGGCAACCACAGGGATGTATCACCATGAAGTAAGTGTTCAGCACTTGACTTAGACTCAGGATAGGAGAATTACTTAGGACTTCAGAATTGAACTACTATTAAATCCAACAAGTTCTTATGGCTTAATGACAAGCCTCAATTGATAAACAGTTACTGGTACTGCTTATCAAGTTGGTAGAGCAGCACCAACAAAAGGCTCATGACAGCTACAGGCTAGCTTCCAGCACACCCTAAACAGAACTTCTGTTTCAAGAATTGTATATGTATTGCAATGTGTATGCGCACATATTCCAACTGGCTCACCTGTCTCCATTAGCTGTGATTGACTCAAACTTGGATTTTTTCTTTGGGATTTCATTTTGAATTGAAGATGTAGAAAGTGTTTTCTGGCTTTTAATGGCAAAAATAGAGAGACACACATTAGAAATCAAAGATTAAGAAAACAGCACAATGAAAGTCTGTCAAATGGACCCTTGGAAGACAGGAGCTCTTCTGTCTAAGAGGTTATTAGTTTTGATTATTTAATGGATACTGGATGTATGGGTAGCTTGTTTTCATAGGACCAAAAACATCATCAGCCTAAAATATTATATTAATAACCATGAAAACAGGACTGGTAAGACTTCAATAGTTGGTATAATCTGTCTTTTTTTTTTTCTTTTTTGTCAGTCATGGGGCTTGAACTCTGGGCCTGGGCACTGTCCCTCAGCTCTTCAGCTCAAGGCTAGCACTCTACCACTTGAGTCACAGCACCACTCCCAGTTTTCTGGTGGTTCCTTGGAGATAAGAGTCTCACGGACTTTCCTGCCCAGGCTGGCTTTGAACTGAGATCCTCAGATCTCAGCCTCTTGAGCAGCTAGGATTACTGGTGTCTTTTTCTTTTTTCTGTTGGTCATGGGGCTTCAACTCTGGGCCTGGGCACTGTCCCTCAGCTCTTCAGCTCAAGGTGAAGGCTCTACCACTTGAGCCACTTCCAGTTTTCTGGTAGTTTATTGGAGATAAGAGTCTCACAGACTTTCCTTCCTGGGGCTGGCTTTGAACCGCAATCCTCAGATCTCAGTTTCCTGAGTAGCTAAGATTACAGGCCGTGAGCCACTGGCACCTGGCTTTGTCTTTACTTTTAAAAGCACCTAAACATTACAATCACTGTCTCACATGCATCTTAGGGTTCTGGATTATTCCTACTTTGTAGAAACTGAACACAGCTAGTAGTAAAGCTATGACTAGAAACCAGGTTGATGTACTTGAACTCTTGGTCATCCTCCCTGTACTTAGGAAACTAGTAGTACAGCAGTCCCCCACACACACAAAAAAACCAAAACCAGTGTCAGCCTCAGGAAGCTCACCCAAAACTGATCTTAAAACAAAACCTGATTTTTATATTTGATGAGCCGTGATATAATTTGACCTACACTTTATATTAAAGAGCAATATGGGTTAAGAAAAAAAAAAGAAACCTGAAAGCCTATCCTTGATATATATAAATTTGGGGCATTACTGGGGTTTGAACTCAGTATCCAGTGACTGCTAGACAAGCACTTTATCACCAAGCTATGGCTCCAGCCATATGTATACTGGCTATTTTCTTTTTTTTTTTTTGGGGGGGGGAGGGTCCGGTCGTGTGGGGCCTGAACTCTGGGCCTGGGCACTGTCCCTCAGCTCTTCAGCTCAAGGCTAGCGCTCTACCACTTGAGCCACAGCGCCACTTCCGGCTTTTTTCTTTTTTCTTATGCGGTGCAAAGGAATCGAACCCAGGGCCTCAGGCATGCAAGGCAAGCACGCTCTACCACTGAACCACCTTCCCAGCCCTATACTGGCTATTTTCTGAGATAGGGTATTACTTCCTGCCCAGGCCCATGTGCCTGAATTAAACTTTGGGGCGGGGCTATAGGAATTCATACTTTTTTTGGGGGGGGGCAGTTGTGGGGCCTGAACTCTGAGCCTGGGCGCTGTCCCTCAGCTCTTCAGCTCAAGGCTAGCGCTCTACCACTTGAGCCACAGCACTACTTCTGGATTTTTTTCTTTTTGCTTATGTGGTGCTGGGGAATCGAACCCAGGGCCTCAGGCATGCAAGGCAAGTGCTATACCACTGAGCCACCTTCCCAGCCCGGAATTCATACTTCTAAAAAAAAAATTTTTTTTTCCGGTTGTGGGGATTGAACTCTAGGCCTGGGCACTGTCCCTCAGCTGTTCAGCTCAAGGCCAGCACTCTACCACTTGAGCCACAGTGCCACTTCTGGCTTTTTCTCCTTATGTGGTGCTGAGGAATTGAACCCAGGGCCTCATACATGTAAGGCAAGCACTCCACCACTGAGCCACCTTCCAAGTCCCTTTTTTTCTTTTTGTCGGTGATGGGGCTTGAACTCTGGGCCTGAGCATTGTCCCTCAGCTCTTCAGCTCAAGGCTAGCACTCTACCACTTGAGCTACAGCGCCACTTCCGGTTTTCTGGTGGTTTATTAGAGATAAGACTTTCACAGACTTTCCTGCCCAGGCTGGCTTTGAACTGCAATCCTCAGATCTCAGCCTCCTGAGTGGCTAGGATTACAGACGTGAGCCACTGGTGCCGGGCCTCTCTTCTGAGTTTTAAGACTAATAAAACTCTTCTTAGTAGCTCAAACTCAACTTTTTTTTTTTTTTTGCCAGTCATGGTGCCTGAACTCTGGGCCTGGGCACTGTCCCTCAGCTCTTCAGCTCAAGGCTAGTGCTCTACCACTTGAGCCACAGCACCACTTCCAGCTTGTTTTGCTTATGTGGTGCTGAGGAATCGAACCCAGGGCCTCATGGATGCAAGGCAAGCACTCTACCACTGAGCCACCTTCTCAGCCCCTCAAACTCAACTTTTGAAATTGAATTTCTCTTTTTTCCCCTATGGGAAGAAACACAAGAGCTATTTATTTACTTACTCAGAGGTGCTGGGACCAAACTCAGAGCATCAGAAATGCCAGGGACTCTACCACCCAAGCAACATCCCCCCAAATCATTTTCTTCTTTTTTTGTAGTGCTAGAGTTTAAACTCAGGGCTTCTGCTTGCTTGCCTCCAGCCCTGTTTTGCTATTTTTTTTTTAGGTCTGAGATTGGGACTCAAACTCAGTACCTCATGCTTTCACTCATCAGCTAGCATTCTGCCAACTGAGCCATACCTCCAACCCAGGTCCTATTTTTGAAATAGAGGGTCTCACTGCCTGTCTAGGCATGTACTTGGACCACAATCCACATATTTTAAGCTTCCAATTATTTTTGGGATGACAGGTGAGTACCATATCTGGCTTCTCTTTATTGACAGGGAGTCTTGAAGACTTTTCTTTCTGTCTGGACTGACCTGAATACAAGATCTTCCCAGCCACAGCCTCCCACATAGCCATGACAGGCACATGTTGTTACACTCTGCTATTTCAAAAAGTTCAAGGGCCCTCTTGAACTTTTCTACAGTTCTCCTATTTTCAGCCTCCAAAGTAGCTAGGATTATAGGCGCAAGCCACCAGCACTGAGCTCCAAAAAAGCTTTTTTTATTAGCCCCTCACCCCTTTTCCTTCCAATGTACTCCCTACTAATCAGGAGTAATTATTTTTAATACAGATTTGGTCCTTTCCTCATACAGACCCCATCCCTTTAGTGGCTTTGCACTAACCCCAGGATGAAGTTCACATTGCTGGGCAGGTCTAGACCCTTTCCTCCCTTTCCCCAGCTTCCAATCACAAGCTCCAGCAGTGTAAAAGGACTTAGAGCTGGGCGCTGGTGGCTCACGCCTGTAATCCTAGCTACTCAGGAGGCTGAGATCTGAGGATCGCAGTTCAAAGCCAGCCCGGGCAGGAAAGACTGTGAGACTCCTATCTCCAATAAACCACTAGAAAACCGGAAGTGGCGCTGTAGCTCAAGTGGTAGAGCGCTCGCCTTGAGCTGAAGAGCTGAGGGACAGCACCCAGGCCCAGAGTTCAAGCCCCACAACCGAAAAAAAAAAAAAAAAAAAAAAAAAAAAAAAAAAAAAAAAAAAAAAAAGGACTTAATTCTCCCAGGTTCTGTGTAGACTCATGCCCACCAGTTCTGTGCAAATGCCATTCCCTCAGGCTAGGGTGCCCCTGCCCAGTCTTCATTTGATGATTCCAATTCTTCCAAGATAGTTACACACCAGCTCTCCTGTGAGCCTGCCTTACCTGACTTCCCAGGCAGTTAATTATTACTGTCTCTCATGCCTGAATCTTGACACATTTCCACTGTGGGGCTTGCTGCGTTACACTGCAATTCTGTCTTCTCTACCAGACGGCACAGTCTTGGAGAGTGGCATGACTCTTTTATTCATCTCTGTATTCCCAGCAGAGTCCCTGGCTCATAAAAGCACTTAATGTTTACTGAATAAACAAATCCACACTGGAAATAATGTCAAAAAATAACTAAAATGTGCTGAGTACTTTCTACGTGGCAGTTATAAAAGTAATTGCTATGCATGTACTATGTAATTTATCTTCACAACAGCCCCATGAGGTAATACAATTATTATTTTCCTATTTACAGAGGGGGAAAAAAATTGCCCAAGATTCCCACAGAGAATTTGGCAGGACCAGGATTAAATGTGATGTGAGCCTAAGGGTTATATTCTGAGTGGATCCCACACTGGCAAAGTATTCCGCACTAGAACATCTATCAAACTCCTGACTAAATACACATAAAAAATTGCACAGCAGGCTAGAAAGTTGGCTCAGTGGTAGAGCGCTTGCCTTGCATGCATGAAGCCCTGGGTTCAATTCCTCAGCACCACATAAGCAAAAAAAGCTTCAAGTGGGCACTGTAGCTCAAGTAGTAGAGTACTAGCCTTGAGCTGTAGAGCTGAGGGACAGCGCCCAGGCCCAGAGTTCAGGTCCCAAGACCAAAAAAACCACAAAACCAACAACAAAAAAAATGAACTCCCTGGAAAGGGAAATGTCCTGGAGAAATACCCTCACTAATGCTGAGAAAACAAGTGAAGTAACTTTTTGCTCAAGGCTAGCATTCTACCACTTGAGCTACAGTTCTACTTCTGGTTTTTGGTGGTTAATTAGAGATAAAGAGTCTCATGGACTTTCCTTCTTGAGCCAGCTTGGAACTGTGATCCTCGACCTCAGTCTCCTGAGAACCTAAGGATTAGAGGAGTGAGCCACCAGTGCCTGGCAGTTCCACAGAACTTTAAGACCCAATACAGTGCCAGGAAATCCCAACACCTCAATGAAATCTCCCTGGCCCTTAAGGGACATACAGAAATTATAAAATAGGGTAAGCTAGATACTTCCCACAAACTAGTAACTAGAGAGAAAAAGGGAAGCTTCTATGAGATGTATCTTCCAGTACTGCTAGTGTGGGAAGCCGGGCACTGGGATCACCTGTTGTAGTGGCTGCCACCACTCAGGCGGCTGTACTGCTCCTTCTCCTGATGGCTGCTGCGAGAAGAGCTGCTCAGGTGTTTCCTCTGCTCTTTGGTCTTCTGCAGGACACGTTTGTATGAAAGTGTGCATAGCCAGCACAGCAATTTCCCATCTACCTGCAAGACCAGAGAGAGAGTAAAGAGAAGGAAATGGAGGGTAGTGGCTGAGGACATGAGCACTGGGAGAACTCAGGTTCTAGATCGGCCACTTGTGAGCTGTGTAACCCCAGCCAAGTTATGGGGTCTGCTCAAAGGATGTAGTGTCATAATGTACAGAAAGCACTAGACTTAGGCACACAAACACTGTTTAATACAGTCTTGGGGTTGAACATGTGGCTCAAGTCACAGCGCTTGCCTAGCAGGCAGAGGCTGAGTTCAAACCCCAGTAGTACTAAAAAAGGAGAAAATGAAGAAACAAACATAGTAATTTATCTTTTTGTTTTTCCGACTTAGCAATCAGACAAGAACAAAGTTCCCATAAGGATTTCAAAAGGTACAAATAGCCGGGCGCTGGTGGCTCACGCCTGTAATCCTAGCTACTCAGGAGGCTGAGATCTGAGGAGAGCGGTTCAAAGCCAGCCCGGGCAGGAAAGACTATGAGACTCCTATCTCCAATAAACCACCAGAAAACCAGAAGTGGCGCTATAGCTCAAGTGGTAGAGCGCTCGCCTTGAGCTGAAGAGCTGAGGGACAGCGCCCAGGCCCAGAGTTCAAGCCCCACGGCCGACAAAAAAAAAAAAAAAAAAAAATCTCCATGGTGCTTGCTCATTAAGGAAAACTCAGAAGGAAAAGACAAAATAAATAGGCAGCATCTTACTTTTGTGTGTGTGTATTAAGAACATTTAATGTACAAGACCCTATGTTGAAAATGAACTTTACAACTTTGGGGGTGGGGAGGGAGGAGATGGGGAGGTGGGGAGGAAAGGGATGGTAGGGGAAAAACAAAGGAGGGGGTAACAACGCTCGATAGGAAATGGACTCATTACCTTGCTCATGTAACTGTAACCCTTCTGTACAGTATCTTAACAACTATACATACACACACACACACACACATATACATATATATATAAATATACACACAAATTAAAAAACAACATTTAAAATCTACTCTTATCTGGCTCAACTGATAAGACCACCTGACTAGCAAGCATAGGCCCAGAGTTCAAACCTGAGTACTTATGGAAAATAATATCTACTCTCTGAGAATTCTCAAGAATACAATACATTGAGCTGGGCATAGTACTACGTAACTATAATGGCAGAAAAAAAATAATACATTGAACGGGAATGGTGGTACACACCTATAAGTCCAGCACCTAGGAGGCTGAGACAAGAACACTAAGTTTGAGGACAGCCTAGCCCTATTTCAACAAACAAAAGAATATGATATACAGTTAATAAGTCACCATGCTGCACAATAGGTCCCTTGAATTTGTACTTCCTAACTTCAGTCTTATATCCACAAATCCTTCCATACTTGTTTAATAACTTCTGTATGTCTCACAAAATGGTTTGTTGGAAAGAGTGCCCCAAGTTAAGACAAACAGACAAGCAGCTGCTAGGACCCTGTCCCTGCTGATGATGTAGCATGGTGCAGTTTTAAGTAGATAAAGCCAATTCCTTTAGAAAGACACAGCTATGAGTGAGGGAGCAGGGCACAGGTTTCTACAACCCTCCGAATTAGCCCCTCATCCCTTTTTCTTCCATTGTACTCCTCATTAGTCAGGGTTATTTTTTAATATAGATTTGCCTTCCTGCAGCAATCAAGACTGTAAAACCATTTGCAGGCAGTCCAAGTGATGGTGGGGAGGAAGGATTGGCTAAATTACTTGGATTGGGGAGTGGGGATTTGTGTTGATACTTTATGTATATCCTATTCCTCATATTGGATATTGTGCTCCATCTTTTATTTTTTCCTAGGGATTAAACATCGGCCTTGAATATGCAAGCCAAGTATTTTAATATTTGAACAGGGCCCCAGCCCTTGTGTACTATCTTGAACATAGCTTAATCATATCATTATCTAAAACATTTTTGCTTTGTTTTAGGCAGTACTAGGGATTCACACTTAAGGCTTCACATGTTCTAGGCACTATCACTTCCACCATACCCCCACAATCCTTTTTGCTTTAGGTGGTTTTTCAGATACAGTCTCATGCTTTAACTTCAGACCATAAGCCTCCTCCCTCCAACTCTCAAGTAGTTTGAATTACAAGTACACGCCACCATACCACCAAGGTATTTCTGAGATAAAAATCTCAGTAACTTTTGCCTGGGCTAGCCTCAAACTGTGATCCTCTAAGCTTTACCTCCTAAGTAGCTAGGATTATGCATGTACTAGCACAGCTGGCCTCTTGTCTTGTCAGCAAAACCTTCTTTTGCTCCCCATACTCCCACCTGTCAGCAAGTCCATCTGTGTGACTTTCTCTATCCATTTCCTTTAATTGCACTACTTCTATCCTCATAAAGCCATTCTCATCTCCTACTGCAAACACTGCCCAGATGATTACCCCATTTCCTAGCATGGGGCTTTAAAAAGTTGAACACAGCAGCCTAACAGGGCTTCTTCAATGTAAATCCAACTGTATCTACTCTCCTAAAAACCCCAGGTTTTCTGATCGTATCTAGTATAAAACACAGACTTTTTGCCTATGTGACCCTCAATGTAGCCCTGGCCAACTTCTACAATCACCTTTCCTTTCTCCTCCCTTTGTTTTATCTGCCTTCTTCCTGTTCTTCCCCTGTGCCAAGTTCATTCCTGCCTCAGGATCTTTGCAAGGCTGGTCCCTCATCCTAGAATCTTTGCCCTCCAGAGCTTCTAATCACTGTAGTGTTAATTCAAACTCTATTTTGTTCTTATAACAGGTAACACTGTAAAAGATTCTCTTGTGTATTACATGTTTGTCCACTCCCCTGGGAATGTGAGCTCATCTTTTAAGCTTGTTCTCTGCAGTATTTCCAGTGGCCAGACAAGTAGTAGTTGCTCAGTAAATATTTACCACAGAAGAGAAAACTAGTAATATAGCTCTTTTTCAGTACTTCAGCTTTTTTTTTGTTGTTGTTGGTCGTGGGGCCTGAACACTATGCCTGGGCACTGTCCCTCGGCTCTTCAGCTTAAGGCTAACGCTCTACCACTTGAGCCACAGCACCACTTCCAGCTTTTTCTATTTATGTGATGCTGAGGAATTGAACCCAGGGCCTCATGCATGTGAGGCAAGCACTCTACCACTCAGCCACCTTCCCAGCCCCAGTACTTCAGCTGTTAAGGGCTGTACTAACCAAATTCATTAACTTACAATGGAAGGGTTTATTTTCCCAGTGACCAGAGTACTCTTCCTCCGAACTAGGGCACCTACTGAGTCAAGATTCTGGAGAAAGCCGGGTGCTGGTGGTCACGCCTGTAATCCTAGCTACTCAGGAGGCTGAGATCTGAGGAGCGCGGTTCAAAGCCAGCCTGGGCAGGAAAGACTATGAGACTCCTATCTCCAATAAACCACCAGAAAACCAGAAGTGGCGCTGTAGCTCAAGTGGTAGAGCGCTCGCCTTGAGCTGAAGAGCTGAGGGACAGCGCCCAGGCCCAGAGTTCAAGCCCCACGACCAACAACAACAAAAAAAAAGATTCTGGAGAAGCTGAATTAGTAATCAGGAGCTAACTTACAACAGTATGTTATCCACATCTAGCAGATCACTCAAGCTTTGCAGTCCCCAGCCCCCAGTCTAATACCACTCCTGGATCTAGATGAATGATCTTGGACAAGTTTTCTCATCATGAATCAATTTTTTCCCCCAGTGAGATTAACAGTAGCTATTTTCTAGAGACTTTGAAAGATTTAATGAGATAGAAAAGAAAGAATGGGTGAACTAAGACAGGCCACCGGTGGCTCATGCCTGTAATCCTAGCTGCTCAGGAGGCTGAGATCTGAGGATCACTGGGCAGCCAGCCTGGGCAGGAAAGTCTGTGAAACTCTTATCTCCAATAAACCGCCAGAAAACTGGAAGTGGTGCTGAGGCTCAAGTGGTAGAGCGCTCGCCTTGAGCTGAAGAGCTGAGGGACAGCGCCCAGGCCCAGAGTTCAAGCCCCACAACCGACCAAAAAAAAAAGAATGGGTGATCTAGACTCAGAATGTTATGAGTTGAAATCTTGGTTCTATCATTTATTTCCTGGGTGATTTTGAGCAAGTTAATCTACCAATTCCTTAGTCTCTTTATCTATAAATGGGTAATCAGACTTTGGCGTTATTAAAGTTAACTGAGGGCTCAGAAGGTTGGCTCAGTGGTAGAGCGCTCGCCTTGCATGCTTGAGCCCTGGGTTCAATTCCTCAGCACCACATAAGCAGAAAAAAAAAAGCCAGAAGTGGCACTGTGGCTCAAGTGGTAGAATGCTAGCCTTGAGCTGAAGAGCTGAGGGACAGCACTCAGGCCCCACAACCGGACAAAAAACAAAAACAAAAAAGTTGACTGAGGGTTGGGAATATTGCTTAGTGGTAGAGTGCTTGACTAGCACGCATGAAGCTGAGTTTGATTCCTCAGTACCATATAAATAGAAGAAGCCAGAAGTGGCCCATGGCTCAAGTGGTAGAATGCTAGACTTGAGCAAAAGAAGCTCAGGCACAGTGCCTAGTCCCTGAGTTCAAGACGCAGGACTGGGCAACATGGCTCATGCCTATAATCCTAGCTATTCAGATTTGAGGATGACAGATCAAAGCCAGCTCAGGTTTGAAACCAGCCCAGGCTTTCTCCCTGAGATCTTTATGTCCAATTAACTACCAAAAAGCTAAATGAAGCTGTGACTCAAGGGATAGAGCAAAAAAATTCAGGGATAGTATCTAGGCCCTGAATTCACCCCAGGACCTGCACAAAAAATATTTTTTTCTTTTTAAATTGAGTTATCATTTATGAATTCGTTAGTATAAAATCTGATAGGTGATAATCAGTACTACCTATGATAGGGTTTTTTTTGTGTTGGCCTTGGGGTTTGAACTTAGGGACTAGGCACAGGGCTAGCATGCTACTTCTTGAGCTCCATTTCTGGCTTTTTAATGTTTAACTATATATATGAATCTCACGGACTTTCCTGCCTAGGCTGGCTCTCAACTGAGATCCTCATGAGGTTG